TTATCGTTATCATCTTCCAAGTTGACTACATTTTCCATCAACTTCTCATCGTTCGATTCTACACATACTTCGTCATCCAGTACTTCCATTGTTTCTTTTCCTGCATCAATGGAACACATAATAATTGTTACTAGCTCACATAGAATGCTCAACATTTCTGTACAAAGACAAATACAGGTAGAGATTAAACAACAGTATAACAAAATATGCACTGCTTTCAATTTCAAACAAACAAAATCAAACTAATAATTCATTGTAGTCGTTCATGTCAAGCAATCCTCCACCCCAACCTAAACCGTTCATGAATCTACAAAAGCAAGAAAACGAGAGCTTGAATGAATTGATTGGTGAAGAAAATTGGTCGTTCCCATTGTTATTCAATAGAAGTGAAAGAAATAAAACTTCTATTTAAGCTTATTAGTTTGACGACAAAAAACTAAATTCAGAAATATTAATTCATATTGCTGACATTTCTTGGTCCCTTCAACATAATCTATTGCACAACACTTCGACTGCCCCAAGTGAAGATGAAAAAAAAACAAAAAACAAAAAAAGAGGCAGGGAAAAGCAATTACTCAACTGGTGCGATAGTTCAATGACGTTTAGCTTCTCGACACCGTGCTGGAGGCCGGAGATACCGCCGGCAACTGGGTTGAGTAGTGGGAATCGATTGGGGAGGGATTTTTCTCTCGATTCGTTTGGGGGAAGGGGGGGGAGGGAATTGGGGGATTAGGTTAGATTTACGTGAGTGAGAGTTGGGGGAGATTGAGAACTGTGTTGTGGGATTTTAAATTGGGCCGGGTGGGTGGGTTTTTTAATGGGCCGGGTGATTTCCCACTTTGAGCAGCCACGTAGGAAATTTTGAAAAACTGTGTAAGTGGCTGTGTAGTGATATGTAAGAGTAGCATTTCTCTATTTATTTACACATATTTAGCGAACTATCCATGTGGCACTTAGAGATCTCTACAAAAGTAAAAATTAAAATACTTTAGAAGATTTCAACTAGGTGTTCTCCAAATAGGTGTTCTCCAAATGAAAGTTAAAACTATGAAAAATAGTTTTAACTTCACATTTCGAAATTTGAAAATTGTATTGTTGACTAATTGTAGAAATTATTAAGTAAATATAGTATTTTACAATATTAGACGTTTGATATGTATTATTTAATTATTAAATGATTTGAAAATGATTAAAATTTAAAATAAATATAAAAATAAGAAAACATTTTTTTTACTCATAGGTTCGTAAAGTTTGAAGTTTGGATTCCACACCTAACAACGCTTTATACTTTTTAGAACACTGTCAATATATGATGCCTTCATTAATGCACATTCAGTGGTGTGCGCCTTAGGCAATCAGCAGGGCCCACCATTGGTAGGAATGTTTCATTATACACTCCTTGTTAGTGTATAAACGCCTCTCAACACAACCAAAAAGAAAGTTCGAACGCGAACGGGGAAAAAACTTTACCTATCACACATCTATTTGAAAACTTCATAGATGTAAAGCTAATATAAGATAATATTTATATTGCTAAAAGATATTAATTCTTCTAGTCAGCCTCATTGTTCTGACATACAAGAGCATAAGGATCTAACAATCTAAGAGGTTTTTAAAACAGTAAGTGCCCAACAAATACCATCCAATAAGCAGAAGAGAAAAGGAAAATAATCCTATTAGAAATGGCCATCCAACCATGAATACACCCAAGCATAGCATCACCATGAAAGGCAAAAATGATCTTAAGACAGACAAGCCATCAACCCATGTCCCCTTAAATAGTATGAGAGCAGCAACATTGATCATGTTCCAAGTCATTGATCCACCATAGCAAAGCCGGTTCAGACAATTCGCAATGAAAGAGTGGCAGTTGCAAGTGAAAAGATTGAAAGACTTGTGCTCAAAGTTATGTATAGTCAATCGAATGGCATCATCCCAGGTGATTGCAGAGCCAAAATCGGCATGCTTGTAGCGATGCTTGCATGTATGTCCATTGGCGTTTGGAGGAAAGCAGCACTGTTTATACCAAGTATATTAGCGCTGTTAGTAGGAATGATAAAAGAATATGAAATTTAACCAGTTCTACTGCAAGGAAACATAACCACATTAAGTTGCAAATATGACACACCTAAACTCATTCGATGTGGATGACAAGAATAGATGTAGCACTACTCTTATTTTGAGGACATCTCTTGTTTGTCCATGCATATATAAGAAACCCCTCCCCCAGCCCCAACCACGTCTTCACATAAATGTTTACAAATGGGTTAAAACCACTGTTAGTAACATATGGCGTCATTTCATTTTAGTCACCGAAACTTTTCATTTTTGTTTCATTTGGGCACTCCTAGTGAATTAATGGAAATGACGACGTGGCATAATACATTTTTTGGGATATTACTTTATCATTCAACTAGACAAAAAGGCTTCTTGTTGGACTAGTCATGCTTACTTTTTCTCTTTCCCTTTCTTTGTAGAAGCACAATTTATCCAACAATATACATTTTTGACAAGTTGGACTCTAATAATAATTCAACAGTGGATCTTCCATGCCACGTCATCAGTTTCCTTAGCCTCGTCAGCATCTCCGTTAATTTAGTAGAACGGGTTACCTAAACTTTGAAAAACAAGGGAATAAAACTTCAGTGACCAAGGTGAATGACGCTATAAGCCGTGCACGGCCAATAGAGATTTTAATCTATTCACAAATAGAGAGAGAAGAACAGCAAAGTTGGCTAAGAGGAGTTATTTCAGATGTACCTGCTTTCGGTCCAGTTGAAGGTATTTGGCAACAGAGCCATATGCAAAATTATTACAATTAACAAGGTTGGATCCTGAAAAATCTATAACAGTGCCGTCCTCCCGACATATGCCAACATGTCCAATGAAAGGTGCCAACCATGATACTACAGGTAGTGGTGTCCAAACAATGCAACAAGGGAACTTTGCTTTCTTTGGATCTATTTCATCCAATGGCCAAAATTCATGCTCAATTTTTTCAGCAGTAAGTTTCTTTTCAACTCCATAACTAAGATTAAGCTGCGTCAGAGAAGGTTTTCCTGAAGGCATATTGAAATATGCAATCCTGCTGTCTTAATTATATTCTCCAATGCAATTGACTATATGTAGGAAGATATAGACATAAATACGTATCGATTATATATATATATATATATATATATATATATATTAAAAGTGTTTATGTCCAGAAGTTGATTGGACTTAAGGTATAACACTTATAACTCCAATGCAAACAAATAGCGCTAACAATCTAGATAAACTCGTTGAGGCAAGCAAGAATTAACCAAATACTATCACCATCAATCGGTAAAAGAAGCCGATTTGCAAGCAAAACCATTCCTCAGACAAAATTTTCGAGCCTTCAGGGGACGTACTAGTATCTTGTAAATGCCTTCAAGTCGATTCAACCAAGTTTCACAGTACACAGCAGTAAATTTTGGTATGAATGAAATAAAGAAACAAAAATAACAAGCATATAGAAGCTGTGACTCGATAATATCCAGCTCCAAACATAATCAGAGACAGGTCATTCCATAATAATTATAGAGATCTAAGAAGAATGGAAAGAGATTTCTACTCCTAAACTAGAATTGACTAGAACGTCTAGTCATTTTAATATGCAAAGCACCAAAAATTGTAAAACTTAAAAAGGTTGCGGTTCGAATATTTAACTTGTTAAGGCACTCAATGTTACTCGCAGTGACGGACGCAAACAAAAGTTCAATCCGGGTTGACGTTGACAATTGACTGTCGACAATCAGCGATTTTAAGATCAAGGTCGTTTATTAATATTTAATTAAATAACATTGAAAATAAGACTAAGTTTAAAATTTTTTACTTACAATTAAGTTTATTTAAGTAAAAAAGTAATTTTAAAATAAATATTATGTTGCTAACACCAAAAGTGACATTAAATTTTACGAGGACAAGTAATAGATGCCATTATTCAAATTACAAAATCCCCACTCCAAAAGAAAGATATTCTAAAAAAGCTCAAAAAAAAAAGATGGTGTTTGAATGAATGACGTTGGCCTCCAGCCTCCTCACTCTATCAAGCACCATATTTCCTTCTTTAAAAGAAACCCTCCACACTTTTCATTCAAACTCAACACTTAACAGTTCACACAACTTCCCTCATTCTCCTAAATCATCATCTTTGTCAACAAAATTCTTACAAGAAATCACAATGTCTATCTCAAAATCCTCAAACAACCCCTTCAATCTCTTGAACATATTCTTACAGAAACAGGTTTTGCATTATTACAACGTAATATCCCTTTATCAACTGAAAGAAGAGACAAGAAAAAAAAAGAACTAGGAAGGCTTACCTGTAGGCTGTAGCAAGCAGAGGCGGCAACTGGCAGCAGAGCAAGGAGAAGGAGAACTGCGGTCTGCGAAGGTAAAGGAGTGAATGGAGGGTTTGAACTTTGAAGAATATTATTTCATTTTATTGGGCCTAATTCTTAAGAAAAGGCCCAGCTGAACTATGTCAGCATAAAATAAATGGGCCAAAAGAAAAAAAAAAAAAAAGGGAAATAGGGGTAAAGAAACGGGAAATGCGGAGTAAAAGGAAGGACACAAAGTGAAATGAGCGGCATAAAGCATGTCTGAGATTGTGCAGCAGAAAATTTTGGTTACGGCAGGTCTCATCTGTCAACCAATGTGACAAAGTGCAAAAAACATGGAGGTGGGATTTAAAAATCTGATAACGCAACGATATCTAACGGAACATTATTATCCGTCATTTATTTGACCACAATCCCGACATCTCTAGCTTCACCAATATTTTTACTGCACGAGTCACTATAAACTTAGGATACGACAATCCAGGAAGCAAACAAATCTTATTTCTGCAAACATGAACAAATTTCATTACATCCTTCGTTCTGTTACAAGAATAAAACGTGTATTTAATTAATATTTGATTCAGCGGACATTATCCACGTGTTTTGTTTACAAGAGATCGAGCTAATTAATACTCAATAACCATCTTAACAAAGAAACACGAGTATTACAAGCCATTAAATTTGTTATAAAAGAATAACCTCTTTATTTTTTTTAACGACTATGGCCCACAATCCCCAACAAAACTGCAATTGCTTAGCATAAGTTTAAATGATTTATTTTCTTCATTTTTTTCCTCATTATGGGGTTGCTCAATTGGTCAGACCTTAGGTTTGCTCCACGGTGATCACTAGTTCGAGGTCCCTCAGGCCACTAAGGTGAGTACACGGCCGTAAACTTCGGGGCCTCGTGGAATTAGTCGAGGTGCGCGTAAGCTGGCCCGAACACCCACGGTTATCAAAAAAAAAAAAAAAATCTCATTATTCTGTCATTAGTAAAAGACAACGCAACCACAAAATTTTCGTACTTTTATCCAGCAGAACATTAGTAAAACTAAACTTACAAATTATAAGGTTTTGATATGTATTCAGCTTCAATTTGAACAATCTCTGAGCAAGTCAGTATAATCAAAAACTGGTATGCAAGCACAAAAAAGGAAAATTATAGCAGAATCATAAAAGCAGCCCATTGGAATACTGTGCACAATTAAATTTAACTGATAAAAATACTCAAAACCCATAAGAAAAGATATATTCTGGGCTAACAAAAAGATCAAAGGTGCGATCTTGACAATTCACAGCCAATATATGCAAATAATTCAGCAAACCCATCTTCAAAAATAAACAAAAACACATAACTGTATGTTTAGAAAATGCATTAATTGATCAAACATCGAGCATTTTAAAAATAATAATAAAAAGATAAGAACCTGAAATAGATGAACTCCTGAATAATTCTCTAGAAACTTCACTTTAAATGTTATTGAAAATCGTTAACAACTATGAAAGCCCTTGTGAATTTATTGGGACCCTTCACTTTAGAGATTTTTTTTGGGAGTTATTTCATTGATTTAAAAAACTGATTTCTTGATAGGAAGGAATAGGCCAAAAGGTGGGAAATATGCATGAACCTGAATCCTAACCAACTCTCTGTCTCTCTTACCACACTTGGGGCCCAGTTTTAATGTGGTAAGATCTACTTTGACTGAGAGGAGAGTGCAAACACTGACAGCTTTGTGGAACTAACCCCGTTTGCTCCGTTAAAATTATAAAATTTTTTTCATCTTTTTATCAATCGCACATTTTTTAATAAAATAATATTATACGTAAACTCAAAATAATTTTTTGTTTTTTTAATCACACATTTTTCAGAAAAATACTATTTCAAAAAGTATAATCTCAAATAATGACAAATAATAAGGGCCAAACTGGAGCTAAATTTAAATATCGAAAAACAATAATAAACTATTCCAATTCTCTATTAGATTCTACAAAACTACAATAATAAACTATTCCAATTCTCTATTAGATTCTACAAAACTACGTAGTTGACGCCCAATTTTGTTTCTCTAACTATGAGTAAACAGCTTTAACTATTTCATAATTTAGCCCTTGTCTGACCTTCATTAATTTTTTTTTAGAAAAAAATGAATTTTGTAATAGTGATTTTCAATGTGTGGTTAGAAAGTAAGAAACATTTTAAATTTACGTACAAAATATTTTATTATGTGAATGTGATTGCGAATGAATTAAAAAAGAAAAAAAGGTTTTGATTTAATAGATATCTTATCGGGGCTTAGCAAATAAAGTTTAGCTAGTATAAAAGATTTAACTCATTTATCCGCGAGTCACTACAATAAGAGATGTTATCAATATATTGAAGAATATTTATTATGGGCAACGAACTCCTTTTGTTCAATATTATAGTTAAATTTTTCTTTTCATTTTTATCATTCTTTTTTATTTAAGAAGCAAAATCTCACTCGGAGATTGAATTTCAAGAATAAATTCACATTTAAGTGAAATTTCACTTGGCTCCTTGAAACTTTTTTGCACAACACATTTCTTACGTGCTTTTTTATCTAAAATAAATTGGACATTTAAAATAATAAACTCAAATCCATGTCAAATTTTCCTTCTCCCAGTTCAAATTTCCTGCTTTGACAAAAATGAGCATAGACGTTAATAAAACAAAGAGAAACTTAAAGTGATCAATCAGAAGACCAGAATAATACTTCACTTAAAGAACAGCAACTATCAATACATGTGAAGTAGCCTTCCATGGCACAGACAAGCAAACTGGAAAGAATAACTCACATGTTAACCAGCAACAGAAATTATGTCTTATTCTCAATAGAATCACGGTCGATTGCACGAGATTAACTTGAATGTTGAGACTAAATTGCTCAATGTAAATGATTTAACCAACAGCTAAATCCATTACCAAAAGTTAAACAACCAAATCCATATGATCAGGAATAATTTTTTGTTGTCTCCAACTTATTCAATAGCATGAGTTACTCATCACCATCACAAGTTCCCAAGTAATTCGACTTCATGCTCCATACTTCGGGGCCTTCCAGAGCTTAAAAGCTACTTCGTGGATAAATCTATCAGCTGGTATAACAAGATTTCCACCATTCTGCATCAAAGAGATTCAAACGTTAGTGCAAAGTTGAAAATAATAGTGCACAATGCAAAGTTTCAAAAATATCATCGAAGATTCTCTGAAGAATGTGAAATCCTAGTCCAAAGGAAAAAAGAAACCAACTTCCGAAAATAGCTTGATCTATTGTTTGAGCCCCATTTTTTGAGGGGAAAAAAAGGAGTTTTGAAGTAGTGATTTTTTGGAGAATGTGTATTTAAAAAATATGGAAAAGTTTTGAATTTACGTGTGTTATAGGGAGAATGTAGATTGAAAATGAGTTTGCGGAAAAATGGACAGAAGACGTACAAATTATGATGCTTCTTAGTTAGTAGAATTAAGACATCATTTTAAGCACCTGATTCACCATTTCCTTTTCTGGATCATTTTCAATGGAACACCAGTTACATTAAAACCTATAATTCTATGCCCTTGGTTGGTGTAGATAAAAATTAGATTTTTAGTAAAGTTTGATAAAAATTGATTAAATGTGTTGTTGAAAAGTTACCAAAAGCTGTGAGTCAATGGAATGTATGGTTGAAAATGAGTTTCAGAAAATTGAGGTCAAACATGGGCTATATTATGAAATGAGTTGTGAGGATACCAAAAGCGATAACATTCCAGTGTTTATATTGAAAACAGCAGGAATAAAGGTGAACAAGGCATATTAAAGCTTAGTGGAGCTAGGTCAAGGATTTGAAAGCCCTTGCAATTTTTCTAATAGAAGGGAAATGCATTTGCTCATAAAAATTGAAGGGAGAATACAAGTTAATATTATGATATTATCCGCCTCAAACAATTCCTAAAGTACTTGCCACATATTTGTTCGGAACTTAAAATTGAATTTACCTATCCAAATTACAAGGTGAATGACTGGATATTTATGCAATAGTCCAATAGATGACGATCATATGTGAAACAAATTAAGTAGGGCTTTGAGCGCGTCAAGCCGATTACTCATTTTTTGAGCTTCAGTTGAGCAAGCTTGAGCTTCTTTCAAATTTTGTTTGGCTAGAATCAAGATCTAGCCTGGTTAACTAGTCAATCCAGCCAGCAGAGGTTGAGCCCTTGACATCTCAGGATCTTTTAATCGCTTACTGACTGTAAATGCAAGTAACTAAGGCCCTAGGGCCAGTTGTGTCTTAGGCCCTAAGGCCTGACTGTCACGTGTTTACTGTTATTTATGTGTTTGATAGTTGTACAACTAACTTGGTTGTATAATTTTTTTAACCATGTTTAGATACTAATTTTCTGGAATTATAAATTAGATATTAGGAGATCTATAATTTCTCTTTTCCTTGTAAAGCGTTAGGCTACTGCATTTTTTGTAAGAATTGTTGCAAAGGGCAAATCAATTTTTCCATAGCTCTCTTGATATTTTGACTTGGTATCAAATCTACAACTCTAAACCGTGGTTAATTCTTGTGCATGGGGAATTTTACTTGTCTTGTGTGATTCTTGTGGCTGATTTATGAACTTTCTCTTGTACAACTACGTACTCTGTGTTTAGGTTTTGTTTTAGAATATGTGCCTACACTTCGTGCACTCTCTTTGGTTTCTTAGTTCTACTTCTTGTGCCCTGTGTTTTTCCGTCTGATAAGTTAGGTCCCTTTCATGTTCGTTTTACTGCTGCTTGGGAGTTTCAGTTCCTAATATTTTTCAAAGGGAAAGTTGTAGGGCATATAGATGGGCACCTAAAGGATGTGGAGAATTTGTCTAGTGGGAAGTCAAGGATGCTCGACTTATGACTAAATATTTAGCTTGGTTGAACCTCACCTTATTCTCAATCTTAGTGCCTATAAAACTGCCAAGGACATAAGGAATTACTTAAAAAGATTTTCAATAAGACAACACGGCTATGAGGTTTCAATTGGAGTACAAGATGGGTAATTTCGCACATCATGAGAGCCTCTTAACTTACGTATATTTTCTAGTTTTCAAATCTTTAGGCTAACTATTCAGATATTGTTTATGCTGATGTTCCTGCTGAAGCTCTCTCTATTGTCCAAGCAGTGCATGAAACTAGTAAGAAAGATCAATTATTGATAAAGTTGCGATCAGATTTTGAAGTCACACGTTCTAATATGATGAATCGTGATCCTGTAACATCTTTGGATGCTTGTTTGAGTGAACTTCTTCGAGAGGAACAACGAATAGTCACTCCAGTTGCCATGGAAAATCTAGCTAACGATAATGCACCAGTTAATGTGGCGTATGTAGCACAAGGGGTAGAGACATACGTGTTGTCTAGTGCTATAGCTGTAAAGAATTTGGTCATATTGCAAAGGATTGACCACAAAAATTCTGTAACTACTACAAGTAGCAAGGCCATATCATCTCCACTTGTCACATTCAACCTGAAAGGAAGAAGTGAACTGCTTATCATGCAAAGATTGGTGCCTCCAATTCCTTTACAATGCCTGCCGCCTCACAGGTTGTTTCTAGTCCAGTTCCTACAACCCTGGCAAACCCGAACTTACTCCTGAAATGGTATAGCAAGTGATACCAAGATAATCGTAAAGGGACCTAAAGCAAGACGGCTCCTTCCTCTACACATTTCTCCTTCCACAATCAGTCCTCGTTTCCTTTCCTTTCCTTTCCCTTCCCTTCCCTATAATGTTATTAGACTTACAAATTCAGTATTTTGCTACTTTCATAGATGAATATAGTTGTTTTACTTGGGTTTGCTTTCTTCGGTCTAAGGGAGAAGTTTTTCATTCTTTTAAGCACTTTCTTGTACTTATTGAGAATCAATTTTCTGCTAAGCAATAAGGTCTTGCAATCTGATTTTGTATGCGAATACAGGTCTAATGAGTTTCAGGAGTTTTTTAAAAGCAAAGGGGCCATCTCTTAGCATTCTTGTTGCTGTTGCTAAAAAACCAAAAATACGAGGTTGACTAAGAAGAGACATTTCCTTCTGTCAAAATGACCACAGTTTGGACCATCTTAGCTATTGCCGCTTCTCAATCTTTCCATTGCATCAGAAGGATGTTAAAAATATTTTTCTTTGGTTATCTCAAAGAAGAGATCTGCATCGAGCTTCCCTCTGGTATGGCTATTTCCTCTCATCATGATGCAAGTAAGCTAATGCATTCTCTGTACGGGCTCAAGCAGACTTTCCAATCTTAGTTTGAGAAGTTTTGTAGTACACTTCTTAACTTCTCTTTTGCATAAAGTCAGTAGGGTTATTCTCTCTTCTTTCACAAGTCTGTCGCGAGTATAGTCCTTAAGATTTATGTAGGCAATATTATTATTACTAGAATTGATTGTGGCATGATTACTAAGCTTCATAAGATTTTGCATGCAAATTTTCATATTAAGGAACTCCAACGAATCACCTACTTCTTGGGCCTTGAAGTACATCATCGGTCTAATTGCAATTTTTTAAACCGTCGTAAGTATATTTAAGATCTTCCCACTTTAACTAGTTTGGAGGACACTACTTCTGTTGATACCCCTATGAAGGTGAATGTCAAATACTGAAAGGTTAAAGGGGATATTTGGGATGATCCTACTGTATCAATGACTAGTTGGGAATTTTATCTACTTGACCATTACTCGACCTAATATAAAATGTCGTTTATTAGGTCATCCAATTTATTTCTTCTCCTCGACATCTCCATCTTGATACCATTTGTCATATTATACACTATCTTCGAGGGTCACCTACTCGTAGGTTATTCTTTCATACTGGCTCATCTATTCGACTTATTGCCTGTAGCGATCTTGATTGGACAAGGTGTCTGGGCACTCATCGACCTACTACAAGTTGGCCCCTGTTTGGTGCACATTTTGGGAGTAAGAATGCATTTTTATTGTTGATATGATGAGGAATATGTGGTTGAAAAGGAAGGAAAAGTTACTGATGTGATGAAAAATATTATTTTATTAAAGAATATGTAGTTGAAAATGAGTAGAAAAATGAGAATGAGAAAAATAATGTGGCTCTAACAGGGGCTTGATGTATATTTGTAGGTGATGCCTTGATTTCTTGGAGGTGTAAGAAACAAGATCACGTTTCTAAATATCTATTGAGGTCGAATATAGTGTCATATCTATTGCTTGTTTTGAAATTGTGTGGTTAAACAGTCTTCTTAAGGAGTTTGGGTTTTCTGACTCATTCTAGCACTCTTTATGTTGATAATACTAGTGTTATTCGAATTGCAGCTAATCATGTGAAAGCACCAAGTACATTGACATTGATTTCACTCTATTTGAGATGCCTTGGTTAGTTGGGTGATCCCCTTTCCTTACATTTCAATTGATCTTTAAGTAGCTAATGTCTTCACCAAAGCTTTGACTCGACTGCATCATCAGGTTCTCTAACTTACCAGCATCAATTTGAGGCAAATGTTAACACAAGTAACTAAAGCCCTAGGGTCGGCTTGCCTTAGGCCCACCGCCCACCTATCACATGTTCACTATTATTTATGTGCTTATAACAATTGTACACACCTAGTTGTACAATATTCTTAAACATGTTTGGATCCTAGGTTTCAGAGAATGAACTCCTGTAATTTCTCTTTTCCTTGTAAAGTGTTGTGCTTCCTGTCTTTTTAATAAGAATTGCTGCAAAGTGACAAATCAGTTTTTCCAAAGCTCTCCTGATATTTTGACATTGACTATACATTAATTATCTAAAAATTAAATATTTGTTACTTTATACATTTAAAAATTCTAATATTTTTTAATGGAAATGCAGAAAATAAGCAAATATACTAATTTGAACTTGTGCTTAAAGCAGGCTTAAATAACACAAGTTCACAGTCAAATTTATTATTTTTATATTAATTTAGACTTCAGGCTTAAAACGTTAATTTTGGCCTAGCTAAGACAAAACCTTATTTATTTTGCTCTAGATTAGTAATTATCCAAGCGTTCAGCTAAGTTTGGCCTGTATGCATCCTTAATAGTAATGTATATGTGCTCTGAATATCTATAGAAGCTGTTAGCAATTTCAACAACAGTCACAAAAATTCCTCAAAATAATTTCAATTCCTACCTCAGTAAAATCTCTAAAAGAAAATTCCTCCACCATATCCTTGCGTGTAACAGCATTCTGCCATTGTGCAACTAGCATTGGAGAGTAGTGCCTGTCATAGAATTCATCAGATGGAGTCATAACTTGTGGATAATAATGTACAATATTCATTACTTCACACTTACCTAACGTTCTTGTGAGGCTTCCCTGCTTTCATTGTGTAACTTTGACAGGGAAAAAGCAATGAAAGTTCATTGTTACTCTTGGGTTTAGCATCAGAAATGGAAAAGACTGAATTGTCATCCACCAGGGTAGCCCCGTAGCTCACTATTACAGACATGTGCAATCGAGAACCAATATCAGTTCCCAGCTGTGCCATTTGCATCAGCTCACCAACTAAATGGTTCACAAATTCTATGTCTTTGAGATCATTTATTTTTTCACCAGCTCCAATATGAACAAAGATTAGATCAAACTGGTTGGTCTCTAAAGCCTTTCCTTCTTGAAAGCCAAGCAATTTCAGCAATTCAGAGGCTAGAAGAGACAAATTTAACTTATTCCAATGCAACACGTTCAATCCAATTCTACTTCCTACAGAACTCAAACTAGAGTTATTAGTGATTACAGCAGCTTTCATTCCCATAAACCTGAAAATTGGGGAGATAATAGTCATGTTACACACAAATATTTCATCATTAAAGTGAAGAGAGTCGAAAGAGCAAAAATATTCCACCTTTCTTGTACGGTTGGCACTACATGCATCTCTTGAGATTTATTGCCAACAAATTCTCTAGCAGTCTGAAAGACATTACAAGGAGCTTTTATGATCTGTGTCTTCATCATCAGTGTAATGTTCACAATGATAAGTAAAATTCAAAATTGAAGAAATTTAGTAGCAACAATTAGTCCCACCATGTTTTCATACGCTTCACTTGCATCTAGAAGCTCAGAAAATTCCCTAGTTATCCTTGCATCCTCATTTTCTGCAATCTAACCTCCAAGTAAGTACAAAGAACGATAAATGGAAGTACATATACATCAAATGATTTCCTACCATATAGCCAAAAAAGGAAGAAGGAAAAAAAAAAGGCTTCCCACTTCACAGAATGAAATGATAAGAACAAAAAGGTTGAGTAAAAAGAAAAATAGAAATAAGAATGTAGAATGTACTCCAAAAAAAAAGAGGAAGAAGAAGAAGTTATGCAGCAGATATGACAAGAAAAGCAACATAAGAAATTTTAATATACTCAGAAGTTAATAACCATGATGCCATAAAGTAGGTGCTATTGCCGAGAAGAATGTAACTAACTAACAATTGGACGGAATTCAAGTGGGCTTGGATATGTGATTAAAATAAACATGAAAAAACGAATTATTCCACCTTTGTGAGTCTTTAACTCTTTCTGTTAAAAATTTTTTTATGAGTTCTTTTGCAAAAGCAAGTTATGTTAACAGAAAGTCTATAACTTTGGAAGAAAGGCATAGATTCGGACTGTCACATAGATATTGAAACTCGACTATGAGAAATGAGAATCACTGAACTTAGAAACTCTTAAAATGATTGAATAAAGTTTTGACACATAAAATTGTTTTCCCCAAAATATTCACTTAACTCAAATTTCCACACCCTAGCGTGAATGATCACTAAACATGAATTCTTTTTCTAATCTTACAGAAACTAGCGCAGCATCGAGTGAGAGAAACAACATAATCAGGTGAAACCAGGGACGGATGGGGGGGGGGGGGGGGGG